TTATAGGAGTTTTAACTTACAGTGGATTCAAGATTCTTATGGAGCTTGGGAAATATATTTAAGAAGAGTGTATAAAGTTTATTATCAAAAATAAAGAAATATTTTTAAGAACATCTGTTTTTTGGATTGGCAAGGGGATTAGCAAAAAGAGTTATTAAATATAACTACTTTAATTGTTTTGATTTAAAAAATATATATTTATATAATTACAAATTTTTAAGTAAAAGTAAACTAATTATGATTTTTGATTTCAAAATAAATTTAATTATATAACAAATATTGTTTTAATTTATATTTTTCTTTTAAATAATAATATAAAAAAGTTTTAATATTTTTTTAATTTTTTATTATTATATAAAATTATTTGATTTATTAAATATAATTTAATTAGTATAAGGTTTTTTTAATATTTAAGAAAATATTTAATTTGATATATAACTAATTAATAACTTATAAAATATAATTAAAAATAGATTCTTAAACTAAAGGCAAGAATATAACTCAAATATTTTTTATTATTAAAAAAGTTTTTTTTAAATATAAAAATAAAAAAAAACTATTTATAAAAATTTTTTGTAGTTTAAGTTATTTAATTCAAATGTTTTTTAAATTATATTTCTATTAAAATAAAGAATTAATAATTATATTTCTTTCAAAAAAAAATATAATTAATTTATAAAATTTTATATATTATATAAATAGTTTTAGAATCTATTCTTAAATATAATGCCAACTTTTTCTTTTAATTTTATTATAAGTTATATTTTTTGTTTTTTTTTTTTCTAATAAAAAATTATAAATAATTTTCTAGTTAGATATCAAAACTTTGATTTTGAAAGATTATTACTAGCCTATATTTAAACTGTTATCTTAATACAATCTTATAGTCTTAAGAGATAAAAAAAATTTTTTTTTTTAAGAAGTAAAAAAAAAGATAAAGATAAAGATAAGTCTTTAAATTAAAGGCAAGAATATAATTCAAATATTTCTTATTATTAAAAAAGTTTTTTTTTTTAATATAAAAATAAATAAATCTATTTGTAAAAATTTTTTGCAATTTAGGTTATCTAATTCAAATGTTTTTTGAATTATGTTCCTTCCAAAAAGACATAATTGATTTGCAAAATTTTATATATTAAATAGTTTTGGAATCTATCTTTAGATAAAAAAAAAGGAAAAGTTTGTATTAATAAATAAAAATCCATCCAAATTAATTACCAGTCTAATGAAAATTTTTTTTAATTTTGAAGAGAAAAGAAATCAATATAAGAGAGAAGAGGAAAAACTTTAAACTACTTTTAACAAAAGGATATCTCAACACTTTGCTTTTTTATTATATTCAATTGCATTATTATTTTAATATAATATAATATAAAATATATAAGAAATATATATTTTGTTTATATTTTTTTACATATTAATCAATTAATCAAAAATTTCAGTTAATTACTAACTAGAATTTTTAATGTAATAAAAAATTTAGAATTAAACTAAAGTAGATAAAATTTTTTAGAAAATTAAAAAATTTTTTATATATTGTATTTGAAAGCATTACTACAGATATATATAATTGATGAAAAAAATCATATATCTGAAAGAATAGAGTTTACTAACTTATTTACTTGCCTCAATAAAATGTTTTTATCATAAATTAAATAGATAAAGTTTTATTTATTTTGTTATTGAAATATACAAAGTTTTTTGAAGAAGAAAAAGTAAACAAGTAGGGAAGGCTTTAGCCTTTAAGAAATAAGATATTAAGAAAAATATATTAACTTTATTATTAAAAATAAAAATATTTTTAAAAACATCTGTTTTTTTAAATTGGCAAATGAATTATATTATTATTATGTTTATTTTTTTTATAGAAGGTAAACAAAAGTTTATGAACAATTTTTTTTTTTTTTAAATAAAATTTAATTTAAAAACTAATTAAACTTTTTAATAAAAAATATACTTAATATATATACGTAACATATTCAATTTATAAAAATATATCATTATATAAAATTTTTTTTTTTTATTTACTTAAAAATTTATTTCAATTTTCATATAATCACCAATGCCTGCTAATAAAGAATTAACTTTTGAACAAAAAGCAGCCATAATTTATGGTTATAAAAAAAAAGATATCTATCATAATATTATAGCTAATATTGAATACAAAAAAAGTATGGTGGATAATGTTATAAAGTATTTTATTAAAACTGGATTCACAGAATTACAAACATAACAATTGGAATGATTGGAACAATTATAACTCCTCAATAAATATGCTTATACCACTCTCAAAAAACTTGTTACTGACAAAAAGGATAACAAACATATATTGCTACAAAACTAATCAATCTTTTTATAGCTAAAACAGGAATCAAAGTATTTGAAAAAAATTATCTGTCAAACCCTATATGAAGAATAGTTAAAAAGCTGTATCATCTATTTCAAGCCTTTCCTTTCAGAAAAAAATATTGAAGATCGACTTACCTGATATTTTGTATGTAAAGACTGGACCATTTAAAACTTTAAAAAAGTAGTCTGAAGTGACGAGTCTATATTTACTTAATTTCAGCAAGAAAGTAAATATCATGTTTGATATAATCCATACAAAGAGTAAAATATTAAATGTTTTTTTGCTACTGTTAATCATAGCCCAAGCCATATGCATTGGAGGTGTTTTTTATAATTCAGTATTGGCTTCTTTATTCCTTTTCACATCTTAGTTAAAGATAAGATAAAATTAGTTTATTAAAAAAAAAAAATTAGACTTACCTTTTTTCTCTTATAATGAAGTCATATATTACAACTCTCTAAAATTATCTTTTGCCAACTTTTTAAAATTTTAATGGAATTAATTGGGATTATAGAGTTGCTTTTAATTTCAATATAATAATGCAAGGTCATATGTTGCGAAAATTATAAAGAAGTTTTTTGTTAATAAAAATATTTAGGTTATGGACTGATCTTTTTAAAGTTCAGATCTTAACTTGATCAAAAACTTTTGGTATTATATTAAAATTCAGGTTTGTGAGATCAAATCTAATAATTTAATGAAACTTGAAAATTGTATTTTAAAATGTTGAAATGAGATTGATCTAATATATTGTAAACAATTGATTAAAAGTATATTACATCATATTATGGCTTGTATTATAGCTAAAGGGAGTTACAAAATATTAAAAAAAATATAATTAGCTACATAAATATCTATAAATTAATAGAATATAAATTAATAATAAAAAATATGTAATTAGATAAAAAAAAGATATATATATATACAGTATATATATTTTTATATATTAAAGCCATTATATAAGAAATTTAAAAAATTTTTTAAATTTTTTTTTTCAAAAACTATTATATAATTTTTTTTTAAATTTTTTTATTTAAATTTTAGTTTTTAAAGATTTTAAATATATTTTTTATTTATTTATATATATGTGGTGTAAATTATTTTGCTGTTGACTCAATTGCCAAAATCTTCAAAAATAATTATATCTGATTCAATTATTTTATATGTTTTAATAGTGACTCAATTAATTGCATCAAATAATTGTGTCAAATTGCATTAAGGATCTACCAATTTCTATTATATATATATTTATTTAATTTTATTAATTTAATTTAATTTTTAATTTTTAAAGTTGTTCATAACTTTTGTTTATCTTCTGTATTATTAGAAAAAGATAATAGAATACTTTTTTTTAATAAAAAATATTTTTTTTAGTATTTCTCTTATATTATAAAATTGTTTGATCTATATTTTTTTTTTAATTATAATATATAAAAAATCTTAATATCTTTTTGACTTTGTTTTAATAACAAAATTATCTTGTTTACTAAATATAATTTGATTAATATGAAGTTTTATTAATATTTAAAAAAATATTTTAATTGACTAATAGCTTATAAAGTATAATATTAACTTTTTTTTTTAATTTAATTATAAATTGGATTTATTATTTTTTTTTTTTAACAAAGAATTACAAATAGATATTTGTTTATTTGAATAAAAAAAAGTAAATATTTTTTTAAATTTAATATATCTTTATTATATATATATTTTTTTAACTTTGAAAAAAAGTAATAGAATATTTTTTTTTAATAAATGTTTTTTTTAATGTTTTTTTTTTTTTTATATATTAAAATATCAAAATTTAATTAATTATTAATATATATAAATTATTTAAAAAGATATTGATTTTGAAATAGATTAATTATCAAAATAATATAATATAAAGTATTGAAAAAGAATTTTTCGGAAAGATTAAATTAAACAAACAAAAAAATCATTAAGTATGCTTTAAATACTGTATATATTTTTTGAAACAAATTTTAATATAAAAATTAAAAAAAAAAATTTACAAAATTTGCTTATTATTTAATCAGGTTTCAATATCAACAATAATTCTTAAGTTCTTTATGTTCTTGAGCTTAGAGATTACAATGTATAATATAAAATAAAGAGTATAAAAAACATTTTTCAAAAAAAAAATTATCATTTCCAAAGAATCGATAGTGGGACAAGTAAAGTAATTATTTTTTAAATTCATTGTATATTTCAAAAATAATTAATAAATATTAATATAGACAAAAGAGATTGAAAAAGATTTTCGATTGTCTTTAATAATGGCAACCCTCGAAAACCCAGCTGTTACGCGTTTCAGACAATATTTACGTATCAAAACAGTCCAGCCGGACCCTGATTATGAGTCCTGCACGAAATTCTTGTTGGAACAAGCTAAAGAAATTGGCTTAAAGGCACAAACATTTGAGGTAAATACGGTGAATCTTGCGTATTGAAACCGTTGATGTTAACTGCATTTATTTTGAACAGTATGTCAAAGGTAAGCCCATAGTATTGCTGACTTTAGAGGGTCGTGACCCAAGTTTACCCTCAATACTCTTGAATTCCCACACTGATGTCGTTCCG